CTGTTAGCTCACCTGTCTGTTAGCCCACCTGTCTGTTAGCACACCTGTCTGCTAGCTCACCTGTTTATTAACCCACCTCTCTGTTAGCTCACCTGTCTGTTAGCTCAACTTTCTGTTAGCCCGTTAGCAAGCCTGTCTGTTAGCCCACTTGTCTGTTAGCTCACCTGTCTGTTAGCCCACCTGTCTGTGAGTCCACCTCTTTGTTAGCTCACCTGTCTGTTAGTCCATCTGTCTGTTAGCCCGTCTATCTGTTAGCCCACCTGTCCGTTAGCTCACCTCTCTGTTAGCTCACTTGCCTGTTAGCCCGTTAGCAGGCCTGTCTGTTAGCTCACCTGTCGGTGTGCCCACTTTTCTGTTAGCATAACTGTCTGTTAGTCCACCTGTCTGTTAGCCCACCTGTCTTTAAATCCACCTGTCTGTTAGCCCACCTGTCTGTTAATCCACCTGTCTGTTAGCACACTTGTCTGTGAGCCCACTTTTCTGTTGGCTCAACTGTCTGTGAGCTCACCTGTCTGTTAGCGCACCTGATTATTCACCCAACTGTCTGTTAGCCCACCTGTCTGTCAGCCTACCTGTCTGTTAGCTCACCTCTCTGTTAGCTCACTTGTCTGTTAGCCCGTTAGCAGGCCTGTCTGTTAGCCCGCCTGTCTGTTAGCTCACCTGTCTGTTAGCCCACCTGTTTATTAACCCAACTGTCTGTTAGCTCAGCTCACCTGTCTGTTAGCCCACCTGTCTGTTAGCCCGCCTGTCTGTTAGCTAACCTGTCTGTTAGCCCACCTGTCTGTTAGCCTACCTGTCTGTTAGTCCATCTGTCTGTTAGCCCGTCTATCTGTTAGCCCACCTGTCTGTTAGCTCACTTGTCTGTTAGCCCACCTTTCTGTAATAATTAAGGCCTTCCTTCTCAGTTCTGACCCAGTAAAGCTGAACTGAACTCTGAGTCGGTTCTTCTCTGTAGGTGTCTGTTGGTTCTTTACTGGCTCAGACTTCTGACGACGCCACATTTCTGTCTCTCAGGGCAAGAGCTTCACCTACCACCCGAACCCTGAGCTCTTCCCGCTGAACCGGGAGGACCCCGGCGCTCCCTACCGCTTCAAAGCCGGAGGCGTGATCGCCGTGGAGGTGCGGTAGCTCTCAGACCGAGTCCTGAGTCCTGAGTCCTCTGGACCCAAACGTCTGACCTGTCCCCAAACCCTCAGGGCCAGGACCTGACCAAGGCCATGTCCAGGGGGGAAGTCAGGGCCCAACTGGGGGCCCAGCAGTGCGAGGTCAAGACCCTGGACAGCACCCACCTGTACTGCGAGCCCCCCGAGGTCCAGCC